AAATGACGGACAAGATGGATTTCGATTTTAGAAATCTAAGTAGTTGTCCAAGTTTAGTGTTAAATTGTTGCCTCTTAAGTCTTGTGTTGGGATGTTACGTCAGTCTGCTGTCTAGATATAGTCCTAAATAATTGATTGATTATCGGTCTCTCTTTGTTATTGGTATTTAGTAACTGAGTCCATTTTCCTTCATTTAGTCTTGTCCTCAACTTGTACAGGTCTTCGACAAGCTCAAGGTGTTATTGAATGTTGAAAGTAGCTTGGATAGAATTCGAGTTAGAGGACAAAATTGCGTTATCGCCCTCGTCGGTGATTAAAATGGTATGAGAATGTACAGGAAGATAAACACTATAAATTATGTGAGACTAAGAGTGCTTCCTTTTTGGACGCTGTCTTGTATCTGTCTGACTTTCGAGAACTCGTTGCCACACTTCACTTCGAACAAGCTCGGTTGATTTCAGGATAAGGTAATGAGGAGTGGTTAGGAAGGGTTTAAGTTTATAAATCATGACAAGGTGCCAGATTCTATGAAAAAACCTGTGCTTGATCTAAGAACGCACCCAATTATACTCTCTTCTCTAGAGCAGACGAGATAGTGTAGACAAATTTGAAAACTTATTGGATCGTGGAATGATGAGAACGGAAACCGAATTGTTGAGAAGGTAAGATTTTATGTGTATCTAGGAAGGGTATTAAGCGCTGAAAAAGGGGTCTTTCAAGGATTTTCTTCATTGAAGGAAGAAGGCTGATTGGTCTGGAGAATATGTGGTGGTCACATGCGTCCGTAACAGGACAGGCACTAAGAGTATGATTCGTAAGATAATTTTTTCCACTCACTCTGGGTGTCACTGTTGCGAACTCTAGGACATCTCAACATTTTTGGTAGAGTTGTTTGAATACAGAGGGTGGTTGAGCGTTTGGTTGAAATCCAGTAGTCTTTTGTTGTCGACGTTCAACGATGTAAAGCAAATTATTTGCATTCACGTTTATGTCATATTTTTTATTGTTTTCATGATGATTTAGAGAATTCTTAAGCAAGAAAAGTTGGTCCGGTTTGTTACATCTTTGGCCCATCCGTCTTCGCTATGAGGGTTATCTCTATCACCTCTGGTACCCTAATTACGAGAATACACATTTCCTTAGCAATCTTAGAATATTAAGAATATTAAAGTTATGCGAGAACTTCTGGGCCAAAGATGAAAGTTAATTTTAGTCCTGTAAGATCTTTATTCCGATTGTTGAGCGTATAATGTAATGGTAAATAAGCATGATCGATTTTATATCCAACAGTTGATATTGATGAATAGTAATAAGTTTCCGTGTCAGTGGAAATCAGTCGATTGACAATACACGGACCAATAGTTTCCCCAAGCTATAAATGGCCAGTTGTAATTAAGATCATTGGAGCGTTACACAATAGCGAAAATATTGCATAAATTCGTCCTCCGGAGCGCCCGGAATGGGAAGGGAGCGGCCATCTTCAGTGGGCGTCGGTTTAACATTTCATGATTTCGGGCGGAAAATATCGGCTGTAATCTTTAAACTGGCTGTCATTAAATGATTCAAATCATTTTCACTTTAGACGTTTGCCTATAATAATGATAATAATATGAGCATGAATGGGCGATTTGGCACAACTGGGTCCGCATACTCTCGTTCTGCGACATTGGTAAATGTTACGCCTTTTTACATAAATTTGACTCTTATCGAGTTCAATCCATTTATAAATTTACACATAAATACAATAAATAAGATTTAAGTAGTTTTGGGTCGAATAAAATAAGCCACCTACTAGAAACCCTGAATAGATTTTAAAGGTGATTAACAAGCAAACAATAAACTACATGGAGAACGATGTGTACGAGAAGTAATAGCTTAAAAAAATACACAATTACAATGAGCTACTGACATCTGGCAAAGAATTAGATTTATTAGGCAAAATGTGTAAACTGTCTCATGAAAAGAAAAAAGAAACATAAAAAAATAGCTGATTACATATTATGTAAATTTATGTACTTCATCATGGAAGAGAAGACTTGAAAATGATCCGACTCGTATTTGGCACGCTAGCTGTTCTAGGTTCAAATCCCGATATAACCCAAGGTTTCTCAATTGAGATGATTACTAAAAATATATTGTAAAGTGATTTGACACCCGAGGGTTGGCAGGAATTGCTTTACAATAAACTATTAAACTTGATTGCTTGTATTATGACTTAGATTTTGTGTGTGCATGCATACTTGCGGTCGAACACCACCAATATTCTTCAGGCAACTTTATTGTTAAATTTATTTACGGGCACAAACATGAATTTATCATTAATAATTATAATTACTCACTCGAGTATTAATTACTATTATTGAATTGTGATCAAGCTTGGCTGACACTGTATCGAATTTTTGTCGTGTATTTTAATTCAGTACAGTGGTATAATTTAGTTTTAATCTTATTTAAATGTCCATAGAATTTTTTATACATTAACCTTGTTGGTGTTTTCAAGATGTCTGTGTTTGTTCAAAATTTACAACATACAACATCCCACGTTTGTTATGTGTAAAAAGTTAATGTGCATAAATTGTTTTTTTAGGGACAAATATGATTTAATAACAACGTACAGAATATTTAAACATATGTTTTTGGGGAGAATATACGATTTTTTCATTTTCGCGCTTCCAAGAAAAGAGCATGGGTTGGGATAGTGTTAGTTTTGAGATAGGTTAGGTGGACTAAGGTTAGGGTTAGAGATGGGGTTGAATCAGGTTAGGTTAAGTACTGTTACTTAGAATTAGGGTTAAGGACGAGTTAGGTTACGGTCTGGGATGTGTTAGGTTAGTTCAGGTTAGATTAGGTAATGTAGGGTAGAAACAAGTAAGGAACTGGCTTAAGGGCGCGCTAGTTTATGGTTAGGGTTAGGAACGAGTTAAGTTGGTTTAGGTTAGATTGCAGATTTTCTATGAGCCAATGTTTTTTCATAAAGCGGAGAAAATATGGAAGTACATTTCACTGGTGAGGGAGCTTTACAGTCATAACTAATTTTAAGTAACGTTTGTATAAACAGTGTTACGAGGGGCGTCAGTGGCCGCAAAAGGTTTAGGTGTTGGCAACGCACTATACGGTAAAGGTCCCGGGTTCGAATCCAGCGGCCCTGCGTACAAACCCGGCAAACATACAAATGGGATTTTTTTTCAAAAACATCGGCACCCGAGGCTTCATATAACCTCGTAAAAAAATTGTTGAAGTTATAAAGTAAAATTTATATAAAAGTGCATAGAATTTTGGGGACGGGCTTTCCATACATTTATTAATAAAACTTGGCAAAATTTTTCCTTCCATTCTGTATTATGCTAATATCGTCAACAAACACCAATCAATTTTGTCGTGTAATCGCTAACAATTTCTGAGAATTTAAGCAGTTCGAAAGCTTTGACAAGGTGTTGCTTTTTAAGTTATTTCTACAGTCATCCTGAAATGATCTCACTTTTTAAAAGGCATCAGTTTAATATCTTGTGTCGATCTTCTCGGAATCGTACCGCGTAGGTGCCAAAAGGGTGCGAGCACAAGCTACACATTTCGTACAATGAGAAATTACGAAGCGTTCTTCGTCACATCACTTTGAACATTGATAATCAATCATAAGCGCTGCCAACAAGTGCAAGTCACGTTTTTATTTCCATTCCCGGCGAAGATTTATTGTTTACATTGTAATCAACCTCGGAAACCGGCCTATTCGGTTTTTATTTGTTCTTGTCGGATGGGAAATAGATCAGCGATAGCCGGGAGGTCTGCGAATATCGGAAAGTGTTAATCTCTTAAGTTCATTTTTCTGGTAAAAAGTCCCACTGCTTGCGAGTTTTTGACGTTACTAATATTTTAACAATGGATTATTGTTATTATTATTGAAAATTGTTGATAAATGTACAAGCAAATGTGTGGTGATTAGTGACCGTTAATCGATATTTATTTAGAAATCGTGAGATGCGGTCTGGTGTGATGTAGGTTTCAGAAAAACATTTTCTTTATCGTGCCAACGTTTCGATCTTTATTGAGATCATCTTCAGGGCTCAAAGTGTTTTTCTTCTGTGTAATTGTTCCATTCTTGCGTGTCGTGTCGAGAGGGCCAAAACGTTGGCACGGTAAAGAAAATGTTTTTCTGAAACCTACATCACACCAGACCGCATCTCACGATTTCTAAATAAATAAAGTACAAGCAAATCTTGATTCTGGGTAGCGATATTTGTTGGGTACATATCGGTACCAATTGTAGTGTAATGAAGAGGGCAAAATACATTCACCGAAAGTTTGGCAAAATTTGAACTTTATTTAGACCACATCCCTGATCGTACCGAGTTTTACAATTTACCTGGTGGTTTTTCACTCCTGGCGATAAATTCTAAACTATCCTTGGTAATCCTTAAAAAAAGAGTTATTTACTATTGAAATTTTCGGTATAATCTAGTTTTACATGAATTATAGAAAAACTGAAAAATATTTGACTTGATTTCAACTTAACCAACCTCATGTGCTTTCAGACCTCGTAGTCGATGTCGTCGGGTTTTTTCGTAATTCTGTAATGTCAATATGAGAAATAGGATGCTATAAGTTAAAACAAACCGAAAAATTTGTAATTAATGAAATAATGTAATGTTGTAATATTTATTCAGGCCCTGATGATGGTCTTATAAAGGCTTGGCACGTGATCACAGAGTCTACTTCTTTTTCTACCTGATCAGAAACCAGATCCCAAACACATGAATTCTAAAGTTTTTGTTCTTCTTTACATTTCTTGTAAGAAGTTCTTCTACTTTAGCATGGAGAAAGATAAGTTTTACTATAATAAGTATTTATGTAGTATATGAACAATGCGTTATTATTATTACTGAAAATTAATAAATATACGTTCTAAAGTTTTTGCTTTTATACAATTAAATAAATTTAAATTTGATCTACTGTTCTAGAAAAGTACAAAAACTTGTAAAATACTACGGAAATAAGGGAAATGTTACTCAGTTTTGATTTTAATATTCATTTACGGATTTCCTGAGGGGAGGTAAACGTTTATCCAATGGTATAACTGCCCTAATGAAACGTAAAAAGCTTCTATTTCACAAAATTCCTCTTTTCAGATAAGAAAAAATTACCAACGGGCGAGTCATGTGTTAACACATTGAACAGCAATATGATTTTAACCTTCGTGGAATTTTTTGCTCATCGGTTGTTTAAATTTTGGAAGCCATAAAACTTTCCCGGGGGAAAACCGTTTTATGAACGAGGTGTCAACGGTTTCTTCGAAGAATAGAAAGTCCATCGGGAGAACGATTTAAAATTGACAGACTCACAAAGACAGACAAAGATGGGCACAGTTGTCGCGCTATTCGGGGAATCGAGCACCAACTCGAATTGCGAAGACATACTGACAACAAAAGTATCAGGATGCAAAGTGACGGATGTCAGTCAGAAAAGCCCCGCGTTTGTAGGTAACGAAAAATCCGAAGAAACCAAACCCAGTGAGTACCCCAGCAATTCTAACGGCGCGTCGAGCGTTTGCGTCGCGGAAAAGAAGGAGAACACGTTGATTTGTAAACTTTGTAACTTTATATGTTTCTCAGAAGCGAGATTAAAGAAACACGCGCTGACCCATTCGGACGTCAAATTGCTCAATTGCCAACACTGCGATTATAAGACGGTGTTGGAAAGCAACTTGAAGAACCACATGCGCGTCCACGCCACAGACAATCAATACGCTTGCAGCGTTTGTAAATATCAACTTGTAGATGTTAACCATTACACGGAACACATGACATCCCACGAGGAGGAGATAGATTTAAAATCTCTAGAATCTCTAAGTTCAGAGAACGGAAATCGTTCGGGAGGTAGTGTATACTCTTGTGTTTTATGCTCTTACAAAGGAGCATCGATAAAAGCGCTTAGGAGTCATGTTAAAACCCACTCTCAGGAAAAACCTTTCAGCTGCGCCGAATGTAATTTTAGTTGTAAAAACAAAAGTAATCTGCGCCGACATATGACCATTCACACCGGAAACTCATTCGTCTGTACAGAGTGCGATTACAAATGCAGTACGGCGACAACGCTGAAGTACCACGTGATGCGCCATACCGGAGAAAAGCCTGTCGCATGTACGGAATGCGATTACAGGTGTAAGACGAACGGAGATCTGAGGAGGCACAACCGGATCCACACAGGAGAGAAACGATTCGTCTGCAACCAGTGCGGCTATAAGTGCGCGGCTGGTGCCAATTTGAGAAGGCATTCAAAGACGCACACTGGGGAAAAAGTGTTCGGTTGCACGGAATGCGATTACAAATGCATCACGTCCAGCGCGTTGAAATGCCACAAAATGAAGCATACGGGGGAAAAGCCGTACGCCTGCACGAAATGCAACTACAAGTGTACCAAACCGATGAACTTGAAAAACCACCAGATCGTCAGGCACACCGGTGCCAAGATGTACACCTGCCCGCAGTGCGACTACAAGTCTTACGAAGAGACCAACTTCAACATACACATGACGACACACCGTGGGGACAAACTGTACGCCTGTAGGCTATGCGGCAGCCGTTTCGGCCAACTGCTCGACTTGAAAAACCATGTGAAAACCCATAAAAACGAATGAGCACAAAATATCACGAAGACAAACGGACAACCGCGAGGGAAGTCATAGGAAATAAACCACACTTTCAACCAACAAAAAAGTGTGGAATCTGGACGAGAACCAGTCCTAACGTTTAGTGATAATTTAGTTAACACGAAGCACGGATGTTACATTCTAATCCTACGCTTAGACATTGTTTTTATAATTGATCGTTTCAAGAATGGAAAGAAGTAGGTGCAAACAACCATCAGTTTTCTTATGTTTTACAGTAATAAACGTTACAATTGAGAGAATTTCCATTATTGTGAACCCACATAAAAAAGTGAATACCTTATTTTCGGGTTCAAAATAGACAATTTCAACAAACAATTTACTTACGTAAGATTCGTATAAGAAGTGTATTAAATTTCAATTTCGTTTTAAACACCTCCCTGTCGAGAGATTTTGAACTCCCACGTTTTATTTTCTGGCAAGTAGAACCAACTTTATGAACGGAATGTTGTAAATAAATAAACATACTTCATATAAGGGTTCCTAAGAATTAAAATCCCCAAGTAAAGAAATGTCGAAGGTGTAATTATTTGTAGAAAAACCTGAAAACCCATGACAAACCCATCTTGTTGTTTCTAAGTTGACACAAAACAAGGGATAGTTTGTAAACATTTTAATTGTAAAACAACTAAATAATGATAGTTTAGACTTGTTTATTCTGAAATTAAACACGGAAATGATGTAGTTTTCTCGGTCGCCCTGATAACCGTCAGAGACTTGTCCGATCAGCAATGATCTTGGACACCTCTTTTATCCCTATCTGTAATGGTCATCCCTGGTCCGTGTATTCTCGCAGTGTTTCTAGATTTTGAGAAATGTATGGTGATTAGGGACCGCTAATCGATAATTATTCAGAAATTGTGAGATGCGGTCTGGTGTGATGTAGGTTTCAGAAAAACATTTTCTTTATCGTGCCAACGTTTCGATCTTTATTGAGATCATCTTCAGGTTCAAAGTGTTTGTCTTCAGTGTAATTGTGCCATTCTTGTGTGCCGTGTTGAGAGTGCCACCATGTAAGGTATTGGTTGAGATAAAAAGGAGGGAAAATTCATTGAAAAATGGCAAAAAGGAGGGAAAATTCGAAAGGTTGGGTTGAGATGGGAAGTAGGTGTCCGAGTGGTTAGAGCAGCGGCGTTTTGAGCAGAAAGTCGTCGGTTCGAATCCCGCTCGTGACACTGACTTTTTTATCTGAACTAATTAATTGAAAGATATTAATTGGTCACGCGGACCAGGAAAACTAGTGAATTTAATAAGTTTAAATGAAGTATACTTTCACTAAAGCTCTCCGTGGCCATTTTATTTGTCCCCGAGAATCAAATAGATTACACGACATTTGAAAAATGGCAAAAAGGAGGGAAAATGCGAAAGGTTGGGTTGAGATGGGAGGTTGGTGTCCGAGTGGATCGAAGTCACGATAGCTCGAGTGGTAGAGCAGCGGCGTATTTAGCAGAAGGCCATGGGTTCGAATCCCGCTCGTGACGCTGACTTTTTTATCTCATCCAATAACTTACATAAGAATTAATTAATTGTTATGGGATAAAGTTGGGAGAGTGTAAAATAACATGAAAAATCAAGTAAATATATCGAAACAATGAAAGAAATAAAGTAAAAACACTCTTCGGTACACAATTGAACATAATAAAAAGAAAAAGCTTCAAAATAATTAAATTAAAGGTTCAAAATTCCGCCTGAAGAAGAAGAAGAATGCAAGCACGATACTTGACAAACTACTAGTAACATGAAAAGCGATATACCTTTAATATTATTGAGAATCGGACTTTGAAAAATATGGACTTTTTAGTCAAATTGCCATGTAGGATAACCACATGATGTATAAATTCAGTATACAGTCTGTTCATAGGACACCCTGTATAGTCGAATATTAAAATTTGCAAATTAGTAATTATTTTATTATCAGTTATATAATTATCATTTATTTTCAGTTATATTTATAATTTATAATAATATAATAAATTTTTGATATATTCTTAGCTTTAGAAAGTATTTCTATATAGTTTGACCAATTTTTAAGAAGATTGCTACAAGAGATCAATCTGAACTAGCCGAAAGGCTTCATTCGCTAACTCGCAACTCTCGACTCACCCGGTAGATCAAACTCGAAAAACCGGAAAAAACATACTTTTGAGATGTTTTTTTAGACTTTTGATATTTCCTTAGTTTAAGAACGTATTTCTAGATATTTTGTATTTAATAAATTATAATAAATAAATATTCAGTTTTAATTTATTATCAGTTATATATTCTACTACTATACTTCTCAGTTGTAATATATTTTTGTAACTATTTTAATTACAATTGTGTATCAAAAAATGTTTAAGTTTGTATTTTGAAACCATAAGTTTCAGTATTGTAAGTGCCTGTTCTTGTTTGTTAACGTTGTGCATGATTAATAATAGTTTTAAAGTCCTGATGAAGAGAATAATTTATATTCCACGAAACCCTGACGAAATGAGTGTTTTTGTTTCTTTCAAATTGGCCTTATGATTTTTAATACTGGCTTATAATGCGCTAAAGTTTATTTTATCAAAAACACCCATTATAAATAGGTTGTGGACAAAAGTAGGACATACACGAGGAAGATCCTATTTTCTGAAAATATATATTTTAAATCTCTGACAAATAAATAATTTTGATGGAAAATCTTGTAAATAATGGTTTTACGGAGAGTCTGCATTACAATCACAATTTGGCAGAAACGGTTGAAATTTTTAAGAAAAACTATTCGGTTATTTCCCTTATTTTTTAATCATTTTCACCGCCTTCTTTCTGGCATGAATCACTTTGCTTTTGCCGTTGACTAAGTGGTAGCGATGTTTCAGGAAGACTCCTGCAGAACGCCACATATGGTAACCTGTTTGCCCTTGTCCCGGTTGCCCAGTTGTGCAAAATGGACAAATAAACACAGCACGTACTTTATGCAACATGCTTTGTTTTTTCTGTATTGATTCTTTCAAATGTCAGTTCCTGTTGAACAATGAAAAGCCAATAAGATCATTTTTAAGGAAATAGTCGTTTAGGTTTTTTTAGAAGTGAAGAAGGTTGCTGGTACAATATGGTTACATGAAATAGATCCAAAATGAAAAAATCCAAACCGAAAAGAGATTATTTTTCCCCATAAAAAGTTTATAAAAGAGGTAGAAAAATTAATTTATCTAATACTAATAGTAAAAATTAAAAACTAATTATGTACAAAGCTGCTACCCCACAATAAACAGAAAAATCCGTATGGAGGCACGTCAGGGTCATAGGATGTTTGAGGCAAATCGCAGAATCATTAATTTCTGTGAATTCGAGCTTGTTCAAACACATAACGCAAACTGTATAGATGAATTTGTTGCAGAAACTCTTTGTAAAAAAATTGAACATAGGCAACCTTCTGGATGATAATAGTAGAACTCTGTTGTTTATTTTTTGTAATAAAACTCTGTTGTAATTTTTTTTGAGTAGTAAACGAACATCGGTCACTATGTACTAAGCTGTTCGGGTTCACCTGATAGGAGAAAACAGTCAGAGAGACAGTGGGTTATAAGCAGGGTGAGGCAAATCGCAGAATCCTTAATTTCTGAGAATTCGAGCTTATAAAAAGCAAAATGCAAAGTATTTTTTGAACTAAACTACTATAAAACTTAAAATATATAACTATATTATATGTTTTATAACTACTTTTTAAAATTAATTTGTTGTAGAAATGGTTGTGAACAATTAACAATCCATAGATCTAAATAGCTCAAGCTGAAATATCTGAATGAGATTATATATGTTAACAGTTTTTTTTTTTTTCCTTTTTTTGTAGGGACATCCGACAGCTAGGTCATTTCAGCCCCGAGCGGAAAGTAAAATAGTGCAATACACACTCAATACACAGCCATACCAATAAATACATTCACTCATACAAGACACAGAAACAGAAAAATACATAATTTAACTTCTCTATACAATAAAATTCCCAATTCCCTTAAAAAGCAGAACAGGGAACCCTGAAACTCGTTGCTGTGTCCGAGAACCCCTTTTAAATCTAGTGGCTTGCCTACTCGCGCCCTGTAGGGAGCCAAGGCACGACACGCTTCGATTATGTGGGACACAACGAGCAACCTTTCTTTGCATAAGGGACACCTGCGGAGGGATTGGCCCACTATCAAGTGCCCGTGTTTACAGTTATTACGTCACAATAACAGGAAAAGGATATAATATATGTATAAAGGATATAATATATTAAAAGGATATGATATATGTACATCTTAAACTATTATTTATTCATTACGTAGGGGATTAATAGGCAAACAATCATAGAAAGTTATTATTTCCAAAACACCCAAGAGCATGGAAATAAAATTACGGACAACAGGTGTAAAAAGGTGGCTAACAGGTTTCTGAATGAGTGACCTAGCAAAACACTAAAATCTCACTATTTAAAAACTACTAACGACAAAATCACACTACGCAAAGTAAAGGAACTACGATTGGCCATAATTAAATATATCTTGAGTGAGCTAGCGAATGAGTGAGTGAATGAGATAGCTGGCAAGTCCTCATGATTGACCTAGTAAGTCAATCAGTCAGTAAGCTTGCGGTGAAATAAAAAATTTTAATAAAAAAAGGTGTAACATCTATGCATTGTTATCCAACTTTAAGAATTCGCTATTATTAAAAAGCCCCTAGCTGCGAAATTTTACTATAGGCATTAGACGGAATAAATAAATGAAAAACGACTGGTTATAATAGACCACAGGCATCTCTCAACTTTGGCAAATTTGTCAGTTTCTTTCTTAAACCGCAAGTACAGACTCTCCTGAAAAATGAATGCGTATCAAAATTTAAATCAATGAAGTCTAAAAAAACATACTGTTCGTTCGAAAAACGATGGCTACCCACTTAGTAAATTTGGTCAAGATATCGGATGGTTGAGTCCTGTCTCTTTTCTACGAGACGTTTCATTTAAAAAATCGGAAGCGAGAAAAACAAATTCTATTATAAAGAATAAAAACGCAGGCGAAACAATCAATTAGCTATTAGCACAGGCTGAGCATAATCAGGGAAGATCAAACTGCGGACAAATGGTAAATAGCTCATCGTCCAATCGGACAATGTTTTAGTCCTTTTATTTTCCGTAGAAAACGCTCTGCAGTGAACAGGTGCCACGGTGATTTCTGATCCAGGCCGAATTTGCGAAACATACGCGCTCGCCTTTTGAGTTGAAAAAACGACCAAGTTGCA